CCGGGCCTTCCGCAGGCTCCTCCTCTGTGATGCTGAAAGGGCCTTTGTGTCCGCGCGGGTTCAGTGCCCACCTGCTGACCCACTGCATTTCATCAGGGTCTCCCAGGCCAGCCGTGGGCAGCCCTGGGCCATGGAGAAATGGTGTGTGCTCGGACTGTGTCCGAAGGGTCCAGTGTGGCCACTGTGGCTGGAATCCGAACACGTTCCGGAAAGGCATTCGATTCTGGTAGAGATTTCATGTAATTAATCTGGACCAGCATTAGGATGCTTTTTTAAGTCTTGATTTCACTGTCCAGAGCCTCAGCACTCCCAGGGTAGGGCTGTTTGCATCAAATTGTACAAGTTTAAATTCAAGCCATTTTGTTAGTGTATTGTTTTCCAGGTTAACCCCTTCTGGAAAGGAGGGGAAGGATGGATCTACCAAGGTGCATTCTTTGTTTCTTGGTGACACGGAAATCTGAACAGAAGGTGAGTCAGAGGTGCGTGACTCATCAGATTAGTCTGACGAGACTCTCCAAGATCACTGGGTACAAAGGATCTCAGCTACTTAGGAGCAGAGACAATGTTAGTAATTTATCCTTAAAACATTTTCTGAAATAACTACAGCATATTTTGACAGGAAATGTGGATGATAAGCTAGAAAAATTTTACTGAAAGAGGGTAAAACTTATGTCTCCGAATCTCTTTCCGTGCCGAGATGGTCTTCGGTAGCCCTTCCAGGCTGCTCCAGAGCACAGTGGAAAGCGGTCATCTGGTCAACCACCTCAACAGGCCTGCTTTGGAAACTCCCCTTGGGGTGTGGGGTTTCATGGGCTTTCGGGTGGACCGTCCCTCATTGCATGAGAGCACGGATGTTTGGCTCTGCCTCAGTCGATTTTCCAGTACGGGGATGGAAGTTATTGGCTGAGAAATGCCTTGTGACTTTCACGCCTTTACCTCCTGGTACACTGCTGAAGTGTGCACACCCGCCCCTTGCGTCAGTGAGAATCACCGGTCCTGGGAGTTCAGGTCTGACCCTTCAGTGCAGTCCCGACAGCCTTAGTGATTCAATGACACACTGTTGGGAGGGGGCAGCCTGGCCTCTGGGGCATGTGGCACCAGGCCTGGCCACCGGCAGGCTGAGGTTGCCAACCTTTTGCTGGTGGTCCTGGCGGCTTTTTTCCTGGAATTGCTTCAGAACCTTTTATCCTCTTGATATTTTTCCCAAGTCCTGTCTATTTTCATGACAGACTTATTTTTTACAGAGAAAGATGTATTGTCACTCACGGCGAAGGGATGCATTTATTACAGCACCTGGCTCTGCAGGCAGCTAGCTGGGTCTTGGATACACCGTCCTCTGCGTGTTCCTGGACCGAGTGTCCCTGGAAACATGGTTGGTGCCCAGTGCTGGGGGAGGGCGGCCGGTTGCGATGGGAACGCAGGGTGTAAACGCAAGACAGGCAGGGCTGGATTCCTTGACCTCCAGGGCTCGCTGCTGGCCAGCAGACAGGTGTGACAGATTGCGGAGTGGATGCCGGCAGCTATGACCGTCCTCACCTAGTCCTTCTGCATTTTAAAACTTATTTATTTTGAAGCTCTTTTTAACCAATGCAGTCCCGAGGTGCTCCGGGCACATGTGGAATGCCAAGGACAGGGGCAGAGGGGACGTGGTGCCTCCCCTCGGGACGTTCCTGGAGCCTGAAATGCAGGCTCTGGGTCCAGAGCTGGGTTTGCACCGCCACCAGGACTCGGCCTAGAGCTAAACTCGCCCCTTCCACGGGATCCTCTCTGGAACTGCGTGCAGGGAGTGAGGAGGACTGGTTAGCTGGTTTCCTAGGTGACAGGACGTGGACATGGGAAACCTTGGGGAATAGGAAGCCCCCTTGGCCTCACTTTTTCTGGGTCCCTTCTGCTGAGATGTTCTAGTTGCCACGTGCCTGGGCCAGGGCCCCTGGACAGGTGGTTTCTCCTGCCCGGGGCCAGCTGGGCTCTGAACGCTTTCCTATCGAGAAGCCTCTACTGTTCATGAAGCATTTGACATTTCAGGGCAGACTCATAGGGCTGGCGGAAACAGAAACCGTCTGGCCGACTCTCCCTGCTCCACCCTCTCCTCTCTCTTTTGGCAAAAGAGACCCTTGAGGAAAGTCACCATCTCAGCGTGTCAGCGACCCTCCACGGCTGGTGGTCTTCTCAGGCCAGTTTGCTTTCCTGTCCCTCCTCTGCTGTGTCTTTGGTCTTCAGCTGGTGGCAGAGGCCCCAGAGCCGGCGAGCCGGGTTCTCCCGCAGCCCAGGCCCGTGTGAGCAGGTCTCCGTTGCTGGCCCGTGAGCCTGTTCTGCTGCCCAGCGGCCTCTCGCAAGACCATGCTGTCTAGGCCGTTTGTGTTCATCATCAAAAGGACGTGATTTATCTGAATACCCCCAGATCCAGGAGATACGAGGCAAGTGAGAATTTTTTCCAAAAAATAATTCCATGGAGAGGAGGTGACACGAAGAACACGTGAGCGGCAGGGGCAGTCAGCCTCCGGGGCCTGACTCGGACTCCGCAGCAGACTCTGCTGCCCAGCCCAGGACGCCCGGTGATGTGCTCCCAGTGGGAAGCTGAGGGCTGGGGGCGGGTGGGGGTGCCTCAAAGGGCGGCAGAGCTCTAAGGCACGACTGTCAGGTCTCAGCGGGGAGAAGTCAGCTGCTGGTTCCCCAGACGGCAGGCCCGAGCCCGCACGCCTCTGGCCATCACGGAGCTCAGGAAGCTGAGCTGGGGATCAGCCACAGGAGGGGACGCTCCGTCCCAGCTACTGCGGGTGGACAGTGCTGAGGAGGTCAGGAAAGTGTGGGCTAAGCTGGCTCCCCCTGGCAGCCACGATGAGAGCTTTATCTGGACGAACAGACAGGCATGAGGTCCCGGGCGGGAGTCCAGCGGAATGTTCCTCTTGAGCCCCGGTGACTTCTGTTTGCTGCAGGATTGTTGTTCCCGAGGGGAGGGGGTTCAAGTACTTCCTAAGCGAGACCCAGGACCGCCTGCTCTGGCCGCGGCATGCCTCTGCCGGCCGCTTTGCTCACGGAGGAGCGTCCCTGTGACTTCGCGGTTCTGTCACCCAAGGGGAGCACAACCAGCTCAGAGCCCCCCGCTGCTGCTGCCTCTGTGGCAACAGACCTCCGCGCGTCCCCCTGTGTAGGGGCAGGAAGCCCGTGGCTCTGCCCCACCTGTGAGTCTTTGCCACACCTCAGCAAGCTCCCCGTGACGGAGCCGAGGGGTCCGCGCAGGATGCCGGCTGGGCCAGTTCTACACAGGAGCCCCCCCCAGGCTGGCTCAGGAGGAGATGAATTCCTATCCCTCCCAGACTTGTTAAGTCACATTTAATATCATTTTCTATGTAAGTTAAGTCTGGATTTAGAGCTAAATTTATTTAAATTACTTCAGTTATGTTGGAGACTGTCCTAATAAATTCTTCTTTCAATCACCCACAAAATGTTAAGCAGGTTTATGCTTGTCACTCCCCCGAACCTGTTCTGGAATTCTCGGCTCGCATCTGCGCCGGGGCACGCGGGACAGGATGGGCTGCGACCCAAAGGGACCGAAGCTAAGCGGCTCCTCTCCTGCTGCCTGCCTGCCCCTCCCTTCCCTGGGACTCCGAATCCTCGCCTGCAACGTAAGGGGGTGAAAAGACCCCCACGCCCCACTTTCCTGAGGCGAGTTCTGTGAATTTATAATTTGGAGGCGTTCTGGCCCAACGCAGGGCCTGCTGGGGTCCTGGCGGTCGTCTCCTTGTTAATAGGAGGCGGCTCTGCTGCTGGGCCAGGACTGCTGCCGGGGTCCTGGCCCCGGGCCTGACCCCAGGACCCCAGGGTCAGTCCAGCATGGCCTTTTACGACCTGATGGATCTTTGTGAAGGGGCCGCCCTGTGAGTTTGGGGTTTCCCAGCACCCCTGGCGCTGCCGTGCTGTAGCCTGTCCCTGGTCGTGATGACTGCGGATGTCTCCCCCAGGCCTGGCAGTAAGCAACACGCTAGCTTGTCTGCTGGTGGTTTCTCCACTGGCACCAGGCAAGGTCGCCAGGTGACCCAGCCCTGTCTGGAAAGCGCTGGGGGCCGCGCTCTTCCAGCGGGAGGGGCCTACGGGCCGAGGGTTGGGGCACAGGCCTTGGGCCTGCCAGACACAGACAAGGGCGCCGACTCCCCGTCTCTCTTGCAGACGGCATGTGACTCTGGAAATCTTTTCCAAAGACAGTATTTGGGGGCCTGTGAGGGGTTCCTTCACACGCTTTTCGATAGCCATGCGCTGGTGTTTTGTAATAATCCGACCAATCAACTCAAATTGCTCTTCAGGCTTAATATTAAAAAAAACGAACTAAATCATGACATCTCTTTCTGCGCTCCTATTTTGCTTGTGAAAATTACAATTCTGAAAAACACAGAAAAATGAAATTCGCCTTACTGAAGGCTGTGCCTGGGTCTCAAAATCCTACGTTACTGCTGAAGCCCCACAGGGCTTTTGTCTGTGGGTGGTTTCTGTTGCGATCCTATGTGAACGAGCTAAACAACCAGTGAAAGAGCATGGAGCACACTTGAGGGACATCAGATCGAGGTGATGCCCCAGGAGCCAAGGACCACAGTCCCGGAGCCTCCCCCAAAATTAGCCACACAGGCGGGGGGAGTGCCTGGGCCCCGCATGGGCTCCCGCACACACCGTGGCGTCCAGCCCTTGACCTGCACCTCCGGAAGGGCTGGTGGTGCACCGCCTTTCCGGAACACAGGGCAAGTGCTCTCGGCATTGGCTCGCGAGGGCAAGCCGTCAGACCCAGCCCGGTCTCTGGAACCTCTCAGACGCATCCGCGAGACACAAGGGGTCAAGCCCTCCCTCATCCAACCTGGGGTTGAGTGTCGGGACGGGGCTTGCGACGATGGGCCAGCGAGGTCCTTTATCTCCGTCGGCTGAGCCATGCCCGCACGGCCCGGGGGTGGCATTCGTGGGGACATCATCGGTCACTCGTCATACAGCCAGCGGGAGGGGGTGTGCACACGTACCTATAGATAATACATGCACTGTTCCTGCATGTGTCACAATTAGCTGTGTCTTGCCCAGTCCGATATGAGAGCCTACAAGATAAGAACAGGAGAGCGTTACACGCGGGCGGCTGGCCGCTGGCCCGTGCGGCGCACACACCTCACGCCTCGGCCTTCCCAGCGCGCCTCGCGGCGAGGGCACGGCTGCCCCGGTCTCCCGGCCCGCTCTGTCTCTGCATGCGCTGGACACGGCCATGGCAGCCGCGGCAGCTGAGCTGCTGCTTACATTTAGAATGCGAACATAAGGGACTGGATGAAGTAAAAAATCTGATTTTGTTGTAAGCACAGGGAATCGGGGATGTCTCAGGGCGGCTTTATCTTGGAGGTGTTTTAAAGAAACCTTGGGACAAGAGCCCCCCAGATCTGCTGGCTGGAGCTGGCTTTTGCTCCAGCGCCTCCTGACCGGGGTGTGCCCACGACAGCCCTTGGGCCAAACCCCTCCCGTGGCCTGAATTTTGCCAGTCAGTAAGAGTGAGAGGAATTGGAATGCATAAATATTAATGAAATCCTGATTTCACCGTCTGCAAATAAACTTTGTGATTTTGACAATAAAAAACAGAGACTACTCTTCCATCCAATAGCCTGGATTCTGCCTCCAGGTCTTCTAATCCCAGAATGTTTACTCTGGCTCTTTGGGGGACAGGGGGCATAGAATAGCCCCCCCTAATTGTCAGACCACCTCATTGGCTTCCCCTAGCTACAGCCTCTGGTGAGTACTATCAGCCTTATAAGACCACAAGGTGTTTTGGGGCTTTGGGGGGTGCCAACACCCCAGTAATTTTGGGGGTGCATTTTGGAGGTTGTAGAATCTTAGCAGTTTGATGAGCAGTATTTTCTTGACCAGATCTTGAGACCTTTCTCAACCCCACACCCCAAAAGAACTGGTTTCGGGAGACTTTTACAGTACTTCTTTTCCCACATCAGCTGATCTTTCCTCTGCTATTTTTAATGCGCAGGTGTCTTTTTCTGCATTTTACTTGACACCCAGGGACAAATGTGATAACCAGAAGCTGTAAATTGGAGGCAGAAGAAAAGCTTCCATCTGAACTGGCTTATCCACACTTTGGGGGCGGATTTACATTTATAGAGTCACTCAGCACAGTAATAGTGTGCACAGAAGGTTTTCTGTCAACATCGACAGTCAATATTTTTATCACCTTTACTGTGTAAACGTTTCTTATATGCATCATGGGTTTGGAATTGAAAATAATTTTTGTTTTCCTCATTCGAGTTTGTGTTACATAAACATTTAACAAAAGGCTTTTCCACGCTGCCCGTGGCTCAGTGAGCGTGGGTGGACGCGTCCTTGACTCGAGTTCTGTGTATTTTATTTACGAATCAAGGAACCACATTGTGCCCCCAAGTGCGGTCTGTGACCCGTTACATGGAGCGCGCGCTGGGACGGGGATGGCACGCCGGCGCCCGGGCTCCCTTGCACACCCGTCATGTCCTGGGCCTTGGCGGGAGACAGGAGCAGTGAAGACTTTGGGTGCTCTGACCTCCGTTTCTCACGAGACTTGGTGACTTTCTTCCTTTCCCTTCTCTTGATGACAAGCCCCATGATTTCATTCCCCCAGAACCTCCCCCGTGGCTCCAGGTCTCCAGAACCCATGCCTACGCTCCCCTGGGCACGGCCACAACCTCTTCTGTTCTGTTCTCCAAAGCCTTGGAATAGACTCCAGTCCGTTCTCCTTCCAGCTTCTCAGACTAAAGCTCAGTCTTTAGCTCATTTCGACCAGGGTCATTAGCACGGTGGGAGCAGCGTGGATCCTGGGACCGGCTTTCCAGAGGTGGTTCTCCTGTTGTGTTGCACAAAGGGTGTGTACTGACCTCCTGAAGAGTCCACGGTAGTTGTCTGTGTGTGCCAGTCACGCTCCAAAGTTTAGACTTTACAAAGAAAACAGGCAAAACCAGGGGTGTCTCCGAACTCTTGTCCCAGGAGCATCTTTCTGGGCTCTCACGGACGACTTCCATGCTCTCATGACCTTCTGCCCTTGACCTGGGCCCACTCCCTATCAAGCTGCATCAGCACCCTCACCTTTCCTTGCCCGGTCCTGGCGGGTCCTAGTGTCTCTCTTACACCTGAGTCTGGAGTCCTCGAGTTAGTTTGGCTCTCCTCGTGTTGCAGAGAATGCAGCAGCAGCTCAGGCCCAGGATCTCATTATTCCCAGACCCCAGGCTTCTGATGCTCTGCAGTGCCCTGCTCAGACCTTGGGACCAGTGTTCTTCACTGTGTGTAACTGGCAGCTGGGATCATCAGTGAGCTTGGCAGTGGCAGGACAAAGGCTGCAGGCACTGAAATGCACAAGAGGACTCCGTTGCAAGACCTTGGAGTTCTTCTGTTAGAAATTGCTTTTTCTAAACCTGCTCTGAAAAGACTATTCTTATCACCTTGTAAAAAGCACACATTTTCTGCCTGTTATTTTCAGGAAGCAAATATCTATTAAGTGTCTAGGAAGTATCGGGCATTATTGTGGCTACCGAGGAGACACTTGGTCTAAGACGGAGCCCTTGTCCTCAGGGAGTCTCCAGAAGAGCAGGAGAGGCAGGCTGGCAGCACTTAGCATGCCTGGATGGGCCATTTTTGATAGTGCTGTACATGAAGGGAATGTCGTGAAGAGACGGTCTGAGCTAACACACCAAGGACCTGGCATGCGAAATGATGGTAAAGAAGCAGTTAGTCCTCTGAGGAACCAGAGCTGGGGGCTGCCAGCAGAAGGCCCAGAGCGGAGCATCCTGGAATAGGAATGGGTTTGGCATGTTTGCAAGATGGAACAAAAGGCCAGGGTGGCTGGAACAGATGGGAAAAAATGGGAGTAGAGGGAGATGAGATCAGAGCACGTAAAACAGGGAGGGCTTTGAGCATGATCTTACGCGTCCTGGGAAGCCACGTTAGTCTTTCTTATAAATAGATGGAAGAATGACATGGAAAACACTTCTCTTAACCCTTACTCTTACCATCGCCTGTAAAATCATTTTCACTTAGCTTCTTTTTCTGCCTGTGCTGCTTTTATTTACAGCCCAACCTAACTCACCCATCCTACCTAACAGTATGGCTAATGTCTGTTGACAGGAAGCAGTTGGGTCATTATGTCTACTATGTATGGAGAGGGATCTATAATCTCCCTTTTTTTTAGCTAATTTAAAAGAAACATAGGTGATTGTCTCCCCCCTGGGGAGGCCTTTCTGTCTGTTTCTAGAGTTTGAGTTAGACCTTTCTTTTTCTTTTCTTTCTTTATTTTTTTAAAGGTGGTTTTTTTTTTTTTAAAGATTTATTTATTTTTATACAAGAGCCAGGGTACAGGCCAGATGCGCGGGAGGGTGAGAGGATGCACCAGAGACAGAGCAGGGAACAGAACAGGCAGACTGACGAAATACACTGCTGTGGGGAGCAGCGGGCGAGACAGGAGAGGTCTGCCGCGCCATATGGGACCCTTGCCGGCCGGCTGATATCGAACCCACACTGCAGAGGCTGCAGAAAGCTTCACAGTGTGGCGCTCAACTGCCTGCGCCATCAGGGAGGCCCTAGACCTTTCTTTTTAAAGGATTCAAATGTGGGGAGTCTCCACAGACAGTATGTAGAACTGGAGGTCACTGAGAAATTAAGCTGTGGATAAACGTTGCAGTGTTACCCCGGTATCGCATCGCTCTGTCACGGGCTGGCTAGTGTCAGTCCAGGCGTTCCTGCTGAATACTATTAAGCCCCAGGGTGTTCCCAGTAGAGGCTTGGATGATGGCACTCGTTGGGCTTATTGCTTTGATAATCCATCTAATTGTCCTTGGAGCTTCCAAGCTGCAGGGTTTGGCTCCTCTGATAATTTTATGATCATATTAATAATTGTGTTGCAGCATCTGAATGGATATGTCCTCCAAATATAGATGAAACAGATAAGTTCTTTCTATAGGACAGGGAACACGCAGTGCTGTTATGGAATTTCCCTACTTTTTCTCTCTCCCTTGGAAACTAGTCATAAAAACCACACACAGAACGCTTATCTTTCTAGGCTGCTCTAGAAAGGAACAGTGCGGTTCCTCTAGTGAGGAACAGCGCAGAAACTTTAAACTGTTGACACTGACACTTCTCCAGTGAGACTAAGTCTTGGAATATTTTTTTTGTGATTAGAGGATTGGAGAAGAGAGAGCTGAGATTATGGATATAAAGACTTTAGAGGAACAACATCTTGGTCACAAGGGTAAATTTTCTGGTCTGTAGGCTCACTGCTACCTCTGAAAAGCTTTCTTCCCGTTGGTTTTGAGGACCTTTACCTACATAGGTTTAAAATCCCACACTGGGGCCTCCCTGGTGGTGCAAGGGGTTAAGCACTGCACTATGAAGCTCCCCTCCGCAGTGTACTTTACGGATAATCTGCTTGTTCTGTTCCCCACTCTGTCTCTGGTGAATCCTCTCACCCCCGCATCTCTGGCCTGTATGCATAACTACATAAATCTTAAAAAAAAAATAAAATCCCACACTGGTCACAGAGTCTGCTACACTCTAGGTGCTTGGTTAATTTTAATTTGACCCAATGACAGTCTTTTGTTCTCATATTGAAGTCCAACAACAGAAAAACCTAATGAAAAATTCCAAGTGAGTGTAAAAGACAAATGAAAGTATAAATTATGAGAAGTTCTGCCCCTCACTTTCCCCCAGAGCAGCTCTCTGAACCTTGCCGAGGACAAGGATGCTCACTGAACTACGGCCTGGATTTTCAATGCCTTAATCTTTGTAGCACTCATTACTGATTGTCCCAGCACAGTTAGTTGTCATTTGTATTTCTGTTCTTAACAATAGTCATAATTGGGGGGGAGCACAAACACCCTGAAACAACCCTCACCAAGGACAGCAGTGAGCACGCAGGTGCCGTCTCTTCTGCCCTCCTGCCACCTGTCCCTCCAGATCACTGCGCTGGGGCCAGCCCGGAGGACCACTCCTCCCTGGATGACCTTCAGCTGCTCCCTGGTGGGATGCGCTTTATTAAAGGGCAAAGAAGACCAGACATGAGCTGCGGAGATAGTAGGGATAGAAGGAGCAC